TTCAGGCACCTTTCTTCAGACATATGTATTTCCACGCGGCACGTATGCAAGGGCCTCTATCGCTAGGCAGCGGTTTAAGCGCAGTGCTTGTGGCATATTTGCAGAGCAAGCGAGGGCCCCATGCGGGTATGCCACGTCTCTGGCTTTCTAGTGGCTGCCTCATTGGTGCCGTTGTGCCCTTCACTGTGATTAAGATGTTGACGCTTAACAACAAGCTCGTGGACTCCAAGAGCTGCGTGCATCGTGGTCAGTCGTGGATGCGGATCATGTTAAGGAGGTGGGGCAAACTTCATTCAGTGCGCGCAGGGGCCAGCGTATTGGCGTATACGGGAATGTTGGTTGCTATGGCGTGTGGGGGAGATCGAACATCGAATGATGTATGAAATTTATTTTTCTCTAGTAGTCACAGTCGCTTGGATAATGGCGACATACTATATTTTAATGAAATTGAAGCGACTAGCAGTCGTCGCAAAATTTGATCAACGCAACTTCGGGAAAGGGCAAAAGTTGCTGGGACTCGGTGGCTTCTTCGTTTTCTCAAATTTACGAACTTCATTTAGCCTCAGTGGTGGAAATCCCTAAAAACGAAAGCGTGTTCAGTTTTCATTTGGCTAAAGAACGCAAACACCGAATATGGTAAGTGGGTAACATTTCCTACCAACGCATCATGACTTACAACTCATTGGAACTGATTGTCGGTTAATTTAGACTATTCTGGACGAGCTAAATTACTTGCGATACCTATTTGCCAAGAACATCCGCAATTTATTGCACTTTTTGTCAACTAGTGCCCACGACGCCCACACTTATATCAGCAAGCTAATCCAACAATGTTGTATCCAATTATTTGTGGATGCACCAGCTCAACTGCATCGTGCACTGGTTAATTTTAATCAATGGCTAGCTGAAAAGCTACAGGACACGCAATCTGGAAGTGATCAAGGACCAGAGCAAAACAAAGTTCTATCGCTGTCTCTGGAAGAGCCACACGATCAAACACAATCACTGGATGTAGCTGTCACTGCCGTAAGCTCAAGCCCGACTCAGTCAATAAAAACGAATTGCAAGCTCAACATGGTTCGATGCAATAGTCTTCAGCATATTGATGTGAATTTTCAGACGCAAGCGAAAGATTTGGAAGAAAATTTGAAAATGCATTTTCGGTCATTTGAATTGCAGAAATCGCTCGAGCGGCAGCAAGAGGTGCGCTCGCTACAATCTCGATGCCATGTCACAGAAAATCAAGACTTAGGCTCGTACAATCAAAACTTGTTTGGCCCGAGATTACCGCATGCAATGCAAACTGCAGACGAAGTGAGCTCTCCGCGAAAACGCCGTCAAAGTGCACTTGCAAATGTGCCTGATTTCGGCATGAACGAAAAAAGTGCTGCGAATTATAGCTCAAAAAGCTCAGAAGACGTAACCGATTTTGAAGAGGACGGCGTTGATGGAGTTGATTATCGGAATCAAAACATTCGATTGCACAGACAAAAACCTTCGGAAGATACTCGGTATTCGCAATCCCCCGATTTTGTAGGCAAATCGTTCCCTGAATGCGACAACGGTGACTATCAACATCTTCTCGAGTTGCAAGGAAACGAAGAAAACAACAGGAGGTGGTACCAACAAGCTTTGCATTCGCTTAATGTAAATCGTGAGCAACGTCGACTACTGCTCAAAAGCAGGACTAAAACTGCTAATAGACCTATCACCAGTTTCTCCTCGTATCTTGTAAAAGAAGCGACGTACGATGCTCACGAGTTCTTGCGACTTGTTTCTTTTCGAGAGTCCAATAAAGACGGCGAGGACTTGACATGGTATCGCCGAGCATTGCAACATCTCAAGAACGAGCGTATCCATTGTGAGGGCTCTCGCGACCGCGACTCGGTAGCCTCTACCGTTTCTATTGTTGACTAACTTGACCTATTAATTTAAGGCGATGCCAACTTTTTGTGTCATTTGGAACTCGTCAGCCACGATAAAGGATATTACATGCGAATGTTATCACCAAATCCAAACATCACGTTTTATCACAGATAATCAATTTATAAAGACGCCGTTCTAGATCATCGTTGCGTTTGCCAAGCTCTACAATATCGTCCCGAGCATTTTGTAAGAGATAGATAGCATACTCGTACCTCTCCTGCATCGTGCGTTCTTGCAACAAAAAATCATTTTTCAGCGCTTCAAGCATTTGCGATACTTTAAGCTTAGTTGCATGTTTCCACTCAGCATGATCCGTTTGCATTCGGTGCATTTCCTGCTGAAGTTGCAGTGCTTTACTGCGTTGCTTTTCAACTTCTTCAGCCAGCTTTTTTTCCTTGTCTGCAGTCATTTCAAGTGCAACCATTAGTTGAAGCTTGTCATTCTCGGCTTCCTCTTTTAGACGTTGGCGCTCTTGATCCAACTCAGACTGCAAATACGTTGCACGCTCTAACTTCATCTTTTCTCGCTCATCATCTTGAATGGCTTTGCGCAACTTGTCATCTTCCTCGAGCAAAGCGCTTTTCGTAACAATTTCAGCCTCTTCCTCAACAAGTCTTTCTTCACACCGTTTTAATTCCTCCTTCAATCGCGATAACTCGTCACGATCAGAGATTAGTAATGATTTGCGCGACTCGATCTCTGCCATGCGATGTTGCTTCTCACTGGAATTCTCTGCATTTATCTGCTGAAAATAATGTACTTCCTTTTGCAACTTGCTCTTGTTATCGACATAACTTTGTTTTCGTACATGCATTTCTTTTGAAAGACGCGCTTTCTTCTGTTGCAAAACTTTAATCTTTTTCATGAGATCCATCTTTTCTTGCTTTACTGTCTGCATAAACCCAAGAATTTTTGAATCATTCGCGAGGGAGTTCTGTCTTTCCTGCTCATACATCTCTGTGAGACGCTGCTTCTCGTCCCATGACTGTTGCTTTGCTCGCTCAAGGTTTGCAATCTTTTCCTCCATCTGACCCATCATTTCTGGGTTCCCACTCGATGCTGACATCGGTCGTGCCACCATCTGGCGTAGCATTTCTATTTCCTCGCGTAACTCACGAATGATCTTTTCGTTAACATCTTCATTCTTCTTGGTCGCATTTTTAATCGACTTGGCTCGATTCGCGTAGACTAACGTACCCACACTCTCTTCATAATTGTAATCTGCTGGAGAAATTGCTGCAATCATGACAGTCAATGAGTTACCACCCAAAGACTCTTGAAGCAGCCGCGTTAGTTTGGAGTCTCTATACGGAATATGCGTTTTGGCTCCACCTTTGCGTGACTTGTCGACAGATGCCAGCATATTGATCACATTGCCCAAAGCACTTAGACTCTTGTTGATCGCTGCACCTTCCTTAAATCGGTCACCAGTTGCACCCGTCTTTGAGGCACGCTCCGAACCTGCAAGATCTACCAAATTGATTTTAGCATTCATACATATTTCCTTACACACACCCGCCATCATTTCCGATCGCTTGGACAAGATCTTGATCGTAAAGCAACTATGTGAGCGAGAACTGCGCTCATTCATTTGAGTAGCTGCCACTTGTCGCACTTTGTTGCCTTGCTCGAGCAATCGCGTTACATCGGCTGGATCACGTACGACAAGCTCTGCTAAATGCTCGACATAGATACCCATATCGGGGTGTTCTCGGATTTTTAGTACTTTATCCGACGGATTCAGCAGATCTTTGATAACTTCATTATAAATCTCCAAAAAGGATACTGTCACGAGATACTTCAAACCTCCTTGCTCTTCAGTATGCACACTTTCTGCGGCACTTGCGCTGATTCTCGCAAAGAGATCGTTATTCATTAGTGGAATGATACCGTGGTCATTTCCACTACCCATCATAGTGTGCGTCTTACCAGACCCTGTCTGTCCATACGCAAAGATAGTACCATTGTAGCCTAGCAAAGCTTGATCGACCAACGGTTTGGCTATATCTTCGTAAACTTGAGCTTGAGTGCTCTCTGTGTAGTAGGCATTATCAAACGTATACTGCTTTTTCCCCAAGGCTGTATCCGTAGCCTCTACTGCTGGGCTAAGATTTTTATCAGCTGTTGGGGAGATAATCACTGTTGTGCCATCAACTACTTGGACAATTTCACGTGCACCCATTTGCGTCTCGCGCGAGCTCATGGGACGACATCGCAATGCCACTTTTACATTCACGTCTGTTGACATGACGTTCCGCTGGTGTGTTTCAAGAAATAGAGAGATATCACGTCCAGATCGACAAAAAATAGAGTTTCTTGAAATAGAATCGTTCGATATATGGCTCGATATTTACCTATATTGTGAACTAATAAACTCCTTTATTATTTTTTTGGAAAGATTTTGGAGTGACCTCCTCGGTCTTCCGTCTCAGACCGTGTGGGTGCTTGTGGCTTGACGCCATATATCCCACCATGAAATGGCAGAAGCGGTGCAATTTTTTCAAAAAACTGCCACCGTAATCGGTCCAAAACACTCTCTACCGAGTCTAACGCGGGACGTACATCCAAATATACCGACAGTGGCTTTCCAGGCGTAGAAGCTCCAGAGTAAAAGTCGATCACATAGCGTACTTCCTTGCCGTCTCGATCCACAATCCAATCATGGCGGTCAAAAGGCAGCACCGACCAGCCCAGCAAATTCATCAATTTGGCCTTGGGACTGTATTCAGTCGGCTTGCCTAAAAACTTCTTTAGCTTTACCGGTTCCTTAGCCCTGTTTTGACAAAAGTAATAAGCAATTGCCGTGTAATCAAGATCTAAATAGTGAACGCACGGATGAAAGCTTTCCCACTTAAGCACTTCTCGCCAACTCTGCTCATTGACCGTATTATGAATAGCTACAATCGTTTTCATTTGCTCTGCTTTGGGAGCCCATCCCTTTCGCTTCATGGCCTTAAAGTACATGTCTTCGCTTGGATACTCCCATTTGTCTTCGTTACCCGTCTGATGCTCCGGTGTCAATTCGCCCTTAGGTATCGATGATACGACTCGCGACTTCGATAGGCATGGAAGATTAGAATTAGATCCGTACACTGAGAATCCTGCAGCGTGATTGGCTACGCGCAGCAATTCGGCGGTAAGGCCAGAGTTTCCATCTATAGGGCACTCAGATGCATCATGGCTGTTGTTCTTTGTAGGATCCACGGAACAGCTTTTATCTTGTCTTTTACTTTCATCGATCTTAACGTTGTCACCTGAGCTTTTGTTAGCTTTGGCCGATGTCCTGAGTGGAGGGTGAGGGCACGCTGCGGCTGCGGAATTCACGTCAGCAGTCATTGATAGTGCTTGGTTGAAATTAAATGATAAAGCGCTCGTAAATTATAGTAGCACCGGCATTGTATAGAAGCTCAAAATTATTATTTTAAAAGAGATGTGTGCAGCTACACGATTTCCAATTCTTGTGGAATACACTAATACATCGATGACGATGCTTGTAGATCCAAAAAAAGCTCATTTTATGCTTCATGCTTTCCTTTTTCTTGTTCCACAGTTGTCGACTTTGTCGTTGCGTCAATGACCTGCCATCACAAAAAAAACGTACAATTTGACTTCATGGCCAACAGCTGCAATGCGAACGAATTGGAGCGTCATCGTATTTCAAGCACGCTAATTAGGTAACTTGCGCTGTTATTTCTTCATTGTTTACTCATCGCAAAGATCCACGCTGACTCTACATCGAATCGTAGGTCAGAGCGATAAGATAGTGCTCATACATACCAAATATAAAAAGTGCTATAACTGATGCCGATACAAACGAAGTCTAACTCAAGGTGTGTTCAGTCGTCTCAAAACGATTTGGTGCACAGAGAGAGCTTTTACTCAACGAAATCGTACAAACGATCGTACAGAGGACGGCGTTGTACACTCGACTCAGCATCTGAACCGAAAGTTTCTTTGGTAACTGCGTGTCTTACGATAGTGGACGTGCTTTTCCAGTTCCGTACAATCGCCATATAGGATATTGTACAATTGTACGAAATATTCAGGACTACCTTCTCATGCAAACGTTGGGACTCCGTATAGGAGAGGACTGTGGTGTTCGTGCAGGCAATCGATTAGGTAGAGTACTGAATATTTACCAGCTCAAGCGTACATACAATGTTATAGTACACAGAATGAATCCTTGATGAATGCCACTCCAGAGCAAAGCAAACTAAGTAAACATGTGTCAGATGGGCTCTCGATTCGCTCGATAGTAAAGCGAACCATTTTATGTGCCTATTAACGCGAACTCTGCAGGTAACAAATTCCTCTGTGAAGATGCACGGCAACCCTGTGACACTTGGTAGCATTTGTATCCGAGACATGATTCGTGAGAATACTGGATCATCCGTAAGGATGGAACATGAGTTGCTCGATTGCCGGACTCCGTATGGTCAGATACGCTTGGTCTATCGTGAGTCCCGAAGGGATCACAAAAAGGCAGCTCGGTTGCCAGATGCAGTGATTACATGTCTGGAGCATTCACCAGGCATGAAAAAGTGCTAGTGCGCTACCTTCAATAATGCATAAATTCGGCCTGGGCCGAAGCATCAATGACACCCACAGTGACGATGATCGTCTAACCTTTTTGAAGGCAGGAACAAAAATATATCTTCCTTTATGAGATAAGTTGGGATGGCTATGGATTTGGCCTAGCAATAGATATAGAGAGATCTGAATCAGCCCGTCGCTTTTGTGATCTCCAAGGTCGAAAGCCGCACGCGAGAATAAGCACTTGCGTGCAAAACCTCTATGGAAAATGAATTCCTAACAAGAAACACCTAATACTTCATTTTGAGCTGCCCAAGCAGGCGCATCTTGTGCAGTTTAATTACCTACCAAGAGAAAAGAAAACTAAGCTATGGCCAGGAGTTAACAAATTCAATGACCGGGATGGCGTCAGCCCTCATTCTGGCGAGGTAAGGTCACCGTTTCTATCAATAGTCCTAGCAATTATGCTACTTGCATCGAGACTTTCCCAAGACACGTGACCTTCTTCGACGTAGCGGTGGGTGCAGATCAGAAACGATGTACAAATTTCAGGCTCCGAAGGCCAAATAGGGTATCGGGAAATAAAAAACTTCCTTTTCACGCCGCAGGCGATGGAGCTCTGTCATGCGGTGGATATATCTTGGCTGCTGAACCTGACCGTAGTTCTCGCAGATGTTCCATCTGTGGAGAGAAGAGATGAGAAGTGCCCTTGCGTGCTCCTTCCATCTAACCTGGGAGGCACAAAGGCTCGGGCTTTCAAGGATATCCAGCTTATGTGATTTTTAGCGTGGAAATATCGAGTGGCGGTAAGCACTAAGATACCTACTGGATTTATACTGGGTTTCATCACACCTCGCTGAGATCGTAAATCATAAATACGAGCCCTGGGAGGAGCGACTCTCTTTAAAATAGGAGGGGCCACAGCCCATTGTTGTTACTTATTAACATCAACACCTCGAGCTTTGTGATGCTCTGCAGATACAGTGTAGAGCGTGAAAAGCTATCTTATCCTAAACTTAGATCCTGAATATAGAATGGCTTAAACGCCACGATCTACAGATCAACTGAAGGAAAGAACTTCAGGTGTCTCGCATTTCTCTCCTGGCAAAGCTTCAGCGGGTCATGATGCCAAATAGTAGAAGCGCTTTTACGAAGTCACGATAGCTTCTGTGCAGGGCGTAAAACCGCATCATCTAGAGTTGATTTGGCAATTTTCCGGAGATGAGGTCAAAAGGCAGAAGTGAGAGCAAGCCGCGGGTTTCACATTATCTCTGCTTATATGAAAGATCCGAATCTATGTTGTGGCCTCCCAGACTTTATCTCTGGTTAGTCGTCTAATCACAGCTCCAAGCTATCGTCTCCTGTGTCAAAGCCAGTAAGGAATAGATGCTATTGGGTTTAGCAGTGTTCCATACAAGCGCCTGTTAAATCGAATGGCGACTGCAAGTCGGGAATATAAGCGACAGGTCGGGAAGCAAAATAGATTGTATTATGATGTACCGGGACTTTTATTGAGTCTGCAATACCATTTGGCGCGCTCGCCATGCGAAGCAATGAAGCTCCATGGATAAGCGATGAGTTATATACGTTCGTAAGCGCAGTTACTGGGAAGTTGGAATTCTCCTCCACTACCTCTCAAAACACTTATTGAGCTAATAGTATCATTCATAGGGGATGTTTACGAAGAATTAGAGTCACCATTATCGTACGGTTAGCAAAGGACAAATTCATATCATTCGTCCTGAATGAGTCCGTCATAGGAGAAACTCGCAGAGCATTGAAAGCGTAGGGTTATATTTCAAGGAAGATCAAATGTTCACCTCGGCAAAATGACTAAGTGTCGTTGTTGCTTATGCTTTGAAGCTCCTTGATTTTTATCTCTCCTGCAAAAGATTTCCTAGCGCTTCCCACTCGCGAGTGAAAGTCAAGCATATTTTTAGTCTGAGACTTGACGTAGCTTCAACTGCTTTCTCACGGAGATGAGCAAGGCTTCTTCCAGCAAAATGTTATGGAAATGAGGTTTCACACTGCGTCGCGCTTTGTACCTCGCGGAGTGAAGCATTCATCGCGCTGTAGTCGGATGTCTACCTCACTGAAGCTGGCTTGTATATGAAACTACAATTGCCCACACACCTTCCTAGTAAGCCTTAGGTCAACTGACACGCCTTACGCGTTTTAATCGCTTCCAGCTGTCGTTGACTTACGTAGAAGGGAGAGGACGTGATGCACCGGGGCTGCCGTAGCTGCTTGCTTAGAGGAAGCTAAGCTGAGGTCAACAACCTTACGTTCTTTACAAGAACCGGTGCAAGTGTAGCGGATCGCAATTCGCTACTTCTAAGTACTAACGTCTTACCAAGGCAACGAACATTTCTGTTCAAACACAAAACTGTATTTGTTTATTTTAGCTGCGGCATTTGCTTATTCAAAAGCAGACCCTGATTAATATAGTAATATGCATTACTACTGGCAATCTTGCCATGTGGCGGATTCTTCTTACGGTGTAGCCACGCCTCTGTGCGATTACACTAAGTGTATAATACACGCCAATGTACGGTCGAACAATCTTTTGCGACCCGCCCTTTCTTTTAAGGGCACGTGTAAACCCGTTACACTTCCCCCTTTAAAGTCGTGAATTTACCCAATTCACATTTAACGGTTGTCTCATACAAGGCTCGCGTGTCTGAGACACCTTAACTTTCTTCGAGAACAACTACAAATCTTCTCCGCTCTATGAGCACTGGGTCTGCGACATGCAAAACACCCAGCCCAGCTGGTAGCGAGGGCGCCCGCGGGCAACGCCCTTCTTCTTCTCAACAGGGTGCACAGTACGTCCGCGGCTATACAGGAAGCACATCCCAAGCCCTCGGCAACTGGGTGCAGCACACCGCACCCGCACCGGAAGAAAGATTACATCGTCGAGGGGCTGGAGAAATTCGACTATGAGTTGGATATTCCTTTCTCAGCTAGAAAAGACGAGGAAGATGAGGTGCGCCAACGGTGCTACGTGATCCCAGCTCGAACCTTGGGACACCGTGTCCGTTCCCCGACCTCTCGGCTTCCGGGGGAAGTGGCATTATTTCCAATCGCCTCGACGAGGCACAGGAGCAGCAAGTGAAGGCTGTTCATAGGGCGGCTCTCCTGCGCTCGTATCCACACTTGGTTTTAGCCTCTCGTGTGGAATACGACCTCCGCTTGGCGGATCCCGCTACTGAAGCAAAAGACGCGATCACTCGATTGTTAAGCGTCTACGCAGTCGGGCCTCCGGCCACTACACAAGCTGAGCTTGATCAGCGGAAAGCTCTGCGAGCTTGCTTTTTGGTACCCAAAAGATCCCAATGGATCGGTACCACGCTCGACATCGAGCTAAAAAAAGCGGTGTCCCTGTTCCCGCAACACGAACCACCCCTGTGGTGCCCACCCCTGGCGAAACTGCTGCAGATGACAACGTGCTCTTTGAGCGATGGGTGCAGCGGCATCGGAATCTTGCCTTGCTGCCTACCCTACAGCGAAGCCACAAGGAAGTGGTCGTGCGCGTAGATTGACACCTTAGATTTGTATTTGCCAAACTAAAGGCGCTACGCCGACTTCCTGCGTTATGTCACCGTGTGACATATGGAAAAATCCAGCACGCTCCCGCGAGCTCTGTGGTTCCTAACACGGATGAGTCTACGATCTCAGCAGCTCAGAACCATAGTTTAAGCTCAGTTTATGGCCCTTCGACCTCCCGGACTACTGCCGAGAAGCACGGGGCGCACAATGACGCGAAGCGTCAGGATCCTTTTGATCATAAGCATCTACGATGT